ATCACTAGCCATCCATGAAATGCAAATTAAAACAACACTGAGATGCCATCTCACCCCAGAAAGAATGGCTATCACAAAGAAGTCAACCAACAATAAATGTTGGAGAGGCTACAGGGAAAAAGGAACCCTTCTCCACTGTTGGTGGGAGTATAGACTGGTGCAACCATTATGGAAATCAGTGTGGAGACTCCTTAAAAAACTAGGACTGGAAATCCCATTCAAGCCTGCTATCCACCTACTGGGAATTTTCCCTGAGGAACTGAAAATGTTGTATCATAGTGATATATGTTTACAGCAGCACAGTTTGTGATAGCCAAATCTTGGAAACAAACAAGATGCCCATCACATGTGGAATGGTTGAAAACGATGTGGTACTTTTATATAATGGAGTATCACTCAGCTATAAAGAATGATAAACTCGAAGCCTTCATATTTAAGTGGATGACACTTGAAGATATAAGAGAAATATACCAGACTCACATGTGTAAATATTGTATTGTCTCCCTGGTATAAGAAATTAAAGGAGGAACTACATATAGAAAGTTACAACAAAAATAAAAGGAAAGCGAGAACTTGAGGATTAGACAATAAGGAGTGGGCAAGGAGAAAACCTGAGAATCATGACAGGGGCAAAGTCATGCATTTGTATGCACGAGATGGGTGGGGCAGTGATCCTGGGGTACATCAGCAGGTTTTTGGGATGAGCGGTTGGCTGGTGAGATTCTCTCCCTGACTAAGTCTATATGCTGGTGCCTGTGAGCCACGCTGCTGCACTGAGGATGGTGATCTGTAATAGAGGAGTCACACTTGGAATGCCTGTCATCCTGGTTTTCTAAATATATTATGACATTCCATTTATTGCCATAATGTCTCTCAAGTAAAGGTTTTTTTTAAGGGTAATAAATAAAAAAAAAAAAAAAAGACAAGAATAAGAAAAAAAAAAGTCACAGGTCTGTCCTGTTACAATTCTGTATATGGTTAGATTTCTAAATTTCTTTGTAAAAATATGTAAATGCTTATTTCTATTTTATAAAATTATTTTTCCTTCATATTCTGTAAAGACTTAAAGTTCAACATACCAATATTTGATGGAAAATACTTGTTCCATGATATGCCAAAGATGTTTGATATTTAGACAGATAGGGTAAACCGAACTGCATATATTGCAGGTTAATAATAAGCTTCTCTTCTGGAGGGTTAACAACCTAAGTTAGCAGTTCAAAATTGGATAAAAGGAAGGGCTGCAAGGTCAGCCAACATTTTGGCCCTAGCCTTTCAAGTTCATTGAAGACTCGGGACATAGGAGAACCTGTACTGTAACAACATGTAACTCAGTTGTGCTCCAAATTTTCTGATCAAGAAGATTATGAAGCCACAGAGGTATGTGATCGATGATGTATGATGTGAGTTGGTCAAGCAATGGCCATGACTCATCCTCATGGCTGACACAGACAAAGGATCTACAAAGTACGGTACAGGGCTACAGGAGAAATCCTGAGGGTACTTGACTGACTTTATCAGATACAAAAGTTACATTTCTTGCTATACTGGTCTTGTTTTTGGGTTTTTTTTTTTGGGGGGGGGTTTAATAGGTCTTGTTCTATCTTGGTCTTAACCATCCAGTAGAAAAGTATAAAAATGAGTTATATAAAGTAAAGCCATATTAATATGATAAGCTGTAAAAGGCTCAAGTCAATAACTTCCGAGGATAACCCACTAATATTATAGACTCCTAGACAGAGTTAGATTGTTTAGCTGAATTCAAACACCTATAGTATTTAGATGCCAATAGAATATTCACCTCTGACAGGACTAAACAAAAAAAAAGGGGGATACAAAGGAAAGATCATTTTGTATTTATATATACAAAATAGTTAGGAGAAATATACAGCTACTTTCGCTTAATTCAATGAGAAGAAAGAGGTGTACTAATAGTGTTTGGACAGGATATCCTGTCTTCTTCTTGTACTATAGATAACCTCTAAGAAGGTAACAATGTGCAATGTATTGATTATTGAAACTGTCCTATTAATCAACTTTGAAACTGTCTCATTCATATTTATTTCTCAATAAAATTAAAAAAAAAATAAAATCAAGGTTGACTGTTGCAGCTTTTAGTGCTGAGGGCTTGCTCTCCAGCCTGCCAAAGCGGAATGCCGATGATTGGCTCCACCTTGCAGATGCCACAAGCTCCTGGGAGGTGTGTTAAGGAGGCGAGTCCCACGGGAAATGACCCCCTGCTTCTTCCTTGGCTGATCACAGCAGCTGTTGAGAAGCCTCCGCCCAGGGTTCCTTGTGGGATACAGAGCCATGGCCTACGGAACAGTCTGGTGCCCACACTTCCTGTGCAATGCTGGTGACAATTTCCAAATAATGTGAAAATACTCGGAGCAACACTAAATTCTCCCACAAGCTAGACCCGGCTTATGCGCACAGCTTCTATCTTCTGAAACATCACTGAATTTCCCTGCTGCAGGTCCGTACAGTGTCCCTCTGCAATTGCAGAGGCTGGTCAGCAGCTCACCCCAATGCCAAAGACATCCACCCCTGAGCCAATTCCTCCTTCCACTGCAGAGTCTCTCAGCACAAGTGCTGCTTTGAGCAGCTTATATTTCCTGCAGGATCCTCACTGCAGACCCTGAAATGTCCATGCAGTTTTCATTCTTCCCAGGGTGCCCTTCCCTTGACTGCCTTACCCTCAGGGTTCAGCTGGGTTATCACAACTCATCACTCCCTGGCTGTGATATGCTCTCACCCTGTCAATACTCATACCCCTCCCATCCAGGGCTGCCATGACCTGCAGGCTTTGAAGGAGGACAGCAAGTACCATGAATGCAGAGACCCTGTTTTCCAGGGATGCTGTCTACAGTGGTGAGTATGGGACCAACTCCCAACTGCAGTCAGGGATCATGGCCAAAGGGTTTGACCCATTGAGCCGCGGGAAGAGAGACTCCCCTCCCGAGAGTCCTCCATGCTTTTCCGCACTCCTATCTTAGAATCACAGGTGATAGCTCAGATGATTAAAGTGCCTACTTAGGCAGACATAGGGGCCAGGAGTTCAAGCCCCAGCACTGCCCAGCTGCCCCCACCCCTGGGGTGCACTGAGACAGCGATTGAGACTGGGTGTGGTGGTGTGCACCTGCAATCCCAGTGCTGGGAGGCTGTAAACAGGAGGATCACTATGAGTCCAATCTACATAGTAAGACCCTATAGACCCTGTAGACCCTGTACTAAAGTAGAAAAAAAAAATCACAGGAGGAAGAAAAGTGGATTCTCTTAGTAAACCAACTTCCCCAACATCTACCTCTCCCTCCATTTGTATCTTCCCTGCTCCTAACTCAGCTCCTGGCCTCAGTGAGCTCTCAAGTATTTCTCAGGTAAGTCCCAGAACTCTATGAATAGTAACATTTCCTAAGTCCATTTTATTTCCTGCTCATTCTTTTTCAAGTGCAAACCCCGTTAAGGAACCAAAACAGTGGCTGGGAAGATAACTTGGTGGTCTAAGCACCTGCCTGGCAAGCATGATCCAGGATCCAGGTTCAATCCCTGGTACCACATGCTATGCGGGCCCTGGAACCCCAGGCATGCCATGCCAGCCACCGAAACCAGGCGTGGTGGCACATGCCTGTAGTCCCAGCACTGGGAGGGGCCAAAACAGTAGGATTACTACGAGTCCAAGCTGCGTATCGAGATCCTGTACCAAATAAATACAAGATTTTAAAAAATTAAATAAAAAAAGAACCAAAACTGTTCCACTCTGCAATTTGTGGAGGGATATTATTAGAGAAATGGGAAAGAAATAGTACGCAAATATAGCTATCCAATGAAGGGTTTTATTTTACACATTAATAACTGGAGAAACTTTTTACTCTCAATTAAGTTCATTCCAAAAGATAGTCATGATAAACAAAGTACACTTAAAAAGCTGCCCTGTGATGGGCCCCAGCACAACATGCCTCAGAGTTGTTTGCTGGTTCTACATATTGACCACACAATAATTGCGACACTGATCGATAACCACTCTACAGATAGCATTCTACTGATGGCCAGCAATAATCTTGCAAAGGAGGTTTAAAGATTAGAAAATCATCCCTCTAAAAAATGAAACAAAATATCTATTTTCTCATAGCTGGTAAGTCAGAGGAATTGGTCCCAAATCCATATCCATCAGTGACAAATCACACTCGCCTCTTTGATGTCACCTCCCTAATGTCTGCCACTCAATCATGTAGCTGCTACTTACCATAACGCATATGGGCTTTGGTTTTGTAATTCGCCCTGAACAAAGAAACGCTTAATTTTCATTTCTAGAAACATGAATTTTGTTCCAAAATGTTAATAAAAATTCTACCTTAAGAGCATTTTCTGTGCCACATGCAGTGTCCTTCATCGCTCGGTTAAGGCTCACTGTCTACGCGGAACCAATCCCAAGGAACATTTGAATTTTACCAAAATGTTACACTATGATGTTACAGGTTGATGTATCTACTGCCAAAACATTTTGAACAGTGAACTCTGTGTGTGCCAAAACTAAAGGGACCCATAAAGTTATTAATTAAAGTAGTTCGTATATTACATATAATCAAAATATTTCTTACCTGAAATTCCATGAAGAATTAATGAATATGAAACAAAGTTCCCTCAGGTTAATGATAGGTTGGTGTTAGTAATTTCATTTGGTGAATTTTTTTATTTGGTTCTTTAAATATTAAAAATATAAGCTGTGCCTTAGTTTAGAGTGGAGGTCAATTCATCAGAGCCATAAGACAAGAAAAATGAATTATAAAGTGAAAGGGAAAAGCTAATTAATGACTGAATTACAAATAATTTAGTATAATTATACACAGAATGAGCATATCGTTAAGGAATAGTTTTCCCAGAAAGAACTCAAAATCATAACTATTGGTTTTTTAAATAGTTCTATAAAGTTATTATTTAGAAGTTATGCCTTTCAAGACATAGGTTAGCCAAAATTATTTCAAGAAATATGATCATCTAACCTTGAAGCTGGCACCTTATCCTGGCTAGTCTCTGCCTTAAGACGTAGAAAGCTGCAAAACAAATGTCCAAAAAAAGAAATTCCAGATCTTTTCTCTGTAAGGAGGCTGGACTTGGGTATTTATCAACTCGTTACATTCCCGGAGACTTACACACATTCAATGTTCAGTGCTTCTCTGAAACAACAAAAAAAAATCTAGGACATGTTTAAAATAGTAATCTTGTAGTCACCATTTTGTTATTAAAAAAACATCTCGTTACAAAAATATTAACCGATAACTGAAGTTATGCTATTCTTGTACAGTCCAAATTCTGATTAAAATATTTCAGACCTTGTATGACACTGTTATCTTCCAATCCAATTTTTCATTTTCAGAATATTAATATGTGGTTCTTAGAGACAGTATCCTTTTATTTAATGAGTGTTGTACCAAACATCTGAAAAAAAATTGAAACTTTTAATCAATTAGTCACCAAGGCTGGCAGAGTTTAAATCGATACATCTTTACTTACCCATTTCAACAACTCTGGGGAGGAAATGGTAACACAGCTTTCTTCCCTTTCTCAGCGTTTCCTTCTGGCCTGGCTGCTTTGGTTGTCAGCAGCAATGAGGATGAGCTGCGAAGGCTCAGCCATCTCGCCCACAGGTGCGTAACCACCCGCTTAGATGGAAAGTAAGGGGCGGGGGACGCCACGACTAATGGGCTGCCTCCCCAGCCAGAGTCCCAGAGCTAAGGGAAGAGACCATCTGGATTGCTTCTTAGGGACCGATGCCTTCCCCTTTAAAGAGGAACTATTCACTTTAACAAGATGTTTAATGTATTTGTCTTATTTAAAATTACTGAATGAAGCCTTCTTTTGGATAACGGAAGAAAAAATTTTAAATCAAATTTAAGGGCCGGGGAGATGGTTCAGTAGGTTAAGTGCTTGCCTGGCAAGTGTAAGGACCCGAGTTTAATTCCTGGTTCTGCCAAAAAAAAAAAAAAAAAAAAAAAAAAAAATCAAATTTAACTCAATTGGCAGGGCCAGCCAAATAACACAGTGGATTAAAGTGCCTGCAAGCAGGCACAGGGGCCAGGGGTTCGAACCCCGGGGCCTTCTGTGCCAGCCCCACCTCCGGGACCCACTGAGACAGCAATTGAGACTGGGTAAGGAGGTGCGTGCCTGTAATCCCAGCTCTTGGGAGGCTGTAAACAGGAGAATCACTATGAGTCCAATCTAGCAGTGAAACCCTGAACACCCTGTAGACCCTTCCCTAAAATAAAAATAAATAAATAAATACATTTTGACTCAAAGCAATAATTTAACCTCTGATCCAGAATTATTCCTTTGTATTTTTAAACAAACACAATACACTTGCGTGCTAGGGTTTTTGTTATTACTATCCCTGATTAGGTTTAAAACAAATTAGTACTGCTTTATTGTTGTTTTCAAATTTTAAAGAACCCATGATTTCTTAAAACAGAATGATGAAACATCAAGTATAATCTAAACAAACAGCTAAAAATAATCAAAGCATAAATTAAATTCTGGATCATAAATTAATGAGAATCATTTATGACTTAGTTCATGAGAAAGAAAAAATATAAAAGGATACCGTTTCTCCATTACTTTATAATTGCCAATTCTGAACAATGTAATTTGCCAGAAAAATATTTTAAACTATTTTAAACAACATAAAACAAGTCAGTAAAGAATAGCAAACGTCATTATTTTCTAACTAGCTATATTAGTACCAACCAAACAAACAGTTCTGTATAGTTTATTTCCTTCTTATAATATCTTAAAGTTGGGTCATTTTTTCCTATTTAACAAAAACTAACCTGGACATATATAGGTTTAGGGAATGATGGTGTAAATATATGTACTGTTCCTGTTTGGACTTCTAGCATAAAATCTTCATTAAGGTCCCATGTTTTAAACTTTACATTTTAAAACTACATAAAACTGTATTTTAAATTAAAGAAATGTTAAACCTGGCATAGACTACTCCCACAAAGTTTCTGCAGAAATTTTCATGGGCGACAATCATGACTTTTTGTAAAGCTGTCCCCCAAAAGGCCCTGTGTGTGTGCACGTGCGTCTGTGGTTTAGCTCACCATTGGAAACCCTAGACACCACTTGCTAGTGCCACACTGCAAGTACTGCAGTAGGCACAAGCGTGCTGCCTGCTGAGCCGCCCGGCTGAGCTCACAGCTCTGCAGCTCACTCCAGGGTGCTGCTGCCGCTCCTCTGGGGTTGGGGGGTTCACAGGGGTGGCGTGCACTTTATGTGGGTAAAGAACTAAGCACTACATGAGGTTGTGACTCATACAAACCAGAGAAATTAAACTGATCAGAGATCATCCCTTGTCTGCTAAACACCAGTTTACAGATTTGGACACAATCCTCAACTTCAGATGGTGTTAAAGAGAACAACAAAAAGAAATCTCAAGGAGCCACAAGTGAACCCTGAGCTTATCCAAAGGGTCCCCTGCAGAGGGCCCAAAGGTTAGGCCAGGCAAAAATCTCTGGAAAGGAAATAAAATGTGGATGGAGACGGCTGATGTAGGGACCACAGACTCAGCGGGGAGCACAAAGCCTCTCAGTGCTGGGGACACTAGCACTTCCCCACATGTGACAATGCCAGAGACATGAAGGCAAGGGACAGGGCCACCCTGCCACATACACTTCCACCCCCTTCCATGAACATCAGGTAGAGACAAGTAGTGACTCTAAAGAGGTCTCCTTCCCTGTCCTTATATTTGATGGTTTTCATGACCAGTGTTTGTCTGACACTCTCTTCACAGAGAACTGTCCTACCCAGTGCCCCCGTGACACCAGCATTCAGGAAAATGGACCCCAGGAACATCACATTAATTAAGTCAGAGCCTGGAGGATCTCAGCAGGCAGTACACTACTTTATAAATACTAAAGATACAGAAGAATCCCTCAGACCTCAATGTAAGATTAAAAAAAACATTTAGCAATTCTATCTATACATTATTTCTTCATCATTCTGTTTTTCATCACCAAAAATAGTTTCCAAAACCACTTCAGGCCTAGTTAAAAACTACCAGAATGTCATAGTCTTGGACTTTCACGACCAGCAAACACAATAAACAGTATTTTAATTCATCAATAAGTTTAAAACTCAATCCAAGCTGGGTAGCACAGCACAGGCCTATAATCTGCACTAAGAAGGGAAGCTGAGACAGGAGGATCACAAGTTCAAGGCTAGCCCAAGTAACTTGTTAAGAGCCCATCTCAAACAAAACAAAACAAAGCATCAAATCTAAGGGAAAGGGACCTCAAAAACACTGCTATTTTGGGGAAATATTCTAAAAATATAATCATATGAATTTGGAACAATTTATCCAGTAGAAACTGCTAACATAATAAGCATACACAGTATGAAGTCAACTTTCAATGCTCATGTATAATAAATAAATGGCATTATATTGAGTTGTTACTTGTGCTTTTCCATGAAAGATCAATGACTGTGCTCCCAGTTGGCCCAACATCTGGCAGATGATTCCTGAGTTCCCATAAAGTCTTAGCAATGAAATGCAACAGGAAGTGCCAAAGGCTTTGGAAAAATATTTTGGGTGTTGAGAAACTTATACTCGGAAAGTCTACCCATGAAGATAGCTTTCGTAAATTTGGCAGTGGACACCTTTGGCTATTTAGGGAGCTTCCACTGAAACTGAATTTGAGAACTCCAATTTATGAAAATAAGGGTTGAGTTTTTGAAAGATAATACTGGTTTCAGCACAGTACATCTAAATCAAAGAACTGCTAATTGTTCCTTCCTTTTATGTACTGAGCCCAACGTAAACAGTGATGGCACATTGCCTGAAATTTCACCTACAAAAGCAACATCACCTGTGTGATCTGTGGCTGCTACACATTAATAGGAAAGGCACATCGACTCTGGGGAATTGGTGTCATTAATTGAAAAAATGGCCAAAGAAATACTGACCAGATGAAGCATTTTTGTTTTGAAAGAAAGGGGAAAAAATGACATACACATTCACACAAGATAATAACTGATTTTAGTTACTTTTTAATTACTGATGTGCAAATAACCTAGAGCAAATCTTGAGTCCCAAATCTCTAAGTCCCCAGAAACCAGTTCTCACAAAAGCTTTCTCCAGACTTCAGTTAATGAGGGCTCAGAAAATGAGCACTCCTAATTAGAGTTGGGGAGAAGGTAGTTTTCCAACTCAAATATCATATTCTAAGGCTGAAAAATCATTCTTATTATTCATATATCTCTCTTTCCATCAAAATGAAGAATAACAAGTTGATTTATCAGCTTCAGCAGGTTGAAATAAAATTAAAATTCCTCACAGAATCAATAAAAGCATGGAAATCACAGCTGTTGATCAGTATTTACCAAACGTCACGATACCCCAACACACCACACCTGAGCTATACTGTTCTCCTTTATGCTGGTGTTATTAGAAGTTTTATTAGGAATTCTATTGTGGCCAAACTAAGTCTCTTAATTATACACTAGAAATAATTAGGCGATGAAACCATAAAAAGTTTTACAAGTTTCAGTTCATTAAGACGGAGAATTTCCTTGTATGTGACATTACTTCACTGAACGCTGTACCCAACACAGCAATTTTTAGTAAGCAGTGTGTTTGGTACCCGCTGGACCCATGAGCTCCTACGATGCACTGCCACTCATGTGAGTCATGCCAGAGCGACATGAGTGCTGGGCAGCTGGCATTTGCTATGGCGTAGTCCACGATGGGTCTCACTGAGATTTTTTTCTGTAGGTTGTCTGGGCTGCGCTCTGTTATCTTTGAAGCCTGGCCATTTATTGCTCTTATGGAGACGTGGACGTGCTGGCTGCGGCAGTGCTAATGTCTCAGCTGCCCTGCAGGGTGTGATTCAAACAGGTCTGGTTCCCAGCCCATGCAATCGTCTGAGGAAACAGGGCCCTTACTGGACTGAAGCCTTCACAGGACAGGTACTGAGTCATCTTTCTGTTGTTCTATCATCAGTTGGAGGTTTGTGGGGTTTCTTTGCTTTCTCTTCAAGCACATGTGGGCCAGGGCCTC